ATGTTGCCCCCGGGTACGCCCGCCCCCCCCGCAATGAGGGCCCCCCCCCCCATTAGTCTGTGCCTGGTCCATCCGAGGGCCTCTTCAGGGCCAAGCAAAGGACTTTTCCCACTGAATCTGTGGCGTAAAAGGAAAGATTCCCCCCTACTTTATATTCATCTCCGTGGGAGGAGAGGGACTCGGGGGGGGCGCGTGGGGTGAAGGGTCGGGGCCCTTGGGCGTCTGCCCCACAAGGGGAGCCCCCCCCAACCGGGCTGTTCCTCCAGGGAGTGGGAAGGGGGCCCACACTCACCTGCCTTCCTTTGGTGGTGGTGGTGGTGGTGGTGGGGACACGGGGACTCCGGATCTGGCCCCGAAGCTTCTTTGGAAAAAAGGGTCGGGTGAGAGTAAAGTCACAGGTTGCACAGTTCGGGGGGGGGCTGTTTTAGACGCTGGAACGCGCCAGAGGGACAGACTGATGGAAGGGGGGGTCCCTTCTCGCCCCGCCTTTCTCCAAGAGGGACCAGCAGGAAGCCCTGACCAGGCCCGTCTCTGCCCAGCTGGACCGGTGGGAGGAAGAAGCCAAAAGTCGGAGGTAAACGCTTGACTCTGTTCATAGGCCTTCCGGGGAGGGGGGGGCTAAAGAGCGGCAATGGGCACACCAGTGGGGCCCCGAGCTGGACTTGGCCCCTCTCCCCAGCTCTTCTGAGAGACCGAGGCCTGGCTCAGCGGCCGGAGCGGCTGCCCTCAGCTCTGGGCAGCCCCCCCACCCCGCCCGGGGGCACAGGAAAGCGAGCAGAAGGCTGGGCCCGCGTCTGAAACAGGGACCCTTGGGTGAACATCGCACTGGACCCCCCACAAGCGCCCCTCCACGGTCCCTCTGGCAGTGACGGAAGGATCTCTTCTGAAGCGCCCATTTTGCAGGGCAGCTCCCGGCGGGGGGCAGGGGGGGGATGTGTCCTTGGGCCAGACGGGCACCACGGGATTTGAAGGCTGAGCCAGGGCCCTGGATGCCCCAAGCCCACGCGGGCATGGAGCCGAGCAGCCCTTTTCGGCTTCTCCCCGAGGGTCCAAGGGGGAGCACGGTCCTGGCAGGACCCTCGGCCAAGTACAGGCCCCGCCCCTCTTTGAGAGGGGAGCCACCCCACGGACAGACGGCATGCATCTAGAGAAGGGTCTGGGGGGGGGAATCACAGGGCCCTTCCGCATCGCACAGCCTGGCCACCGGGCTTTTCCAGCACCGTTGGGTAGGGGGCCGACGGAACGGGGCTGGGGGTCGGGGGTGGCTCCTTCTTGGTCCATTGACATTCCTCCCCCCCCTCCGCTGTCTCTCTTGCGCTTCCCATAGCCCTCCCCAGGACCGGTGGGAGCAGGAGGGTCCACAGCCCGGCCATGGGGGCATCTTGGGGCAAGAAAAGAAGGGGGTGGGTGTCCCCTGGAAGAGGGCATTTGGACCGGCAAGGGCACCCCCAAGTCCACTGCCACGGAAGAGGCCTGGGGGCTCAGCAGAGCCGGGGGGGGCGGGAGCCTTGCCTCGGGCCTGTCTAGCTGCCTCGGAGGATTTCGGCCCATCCCAGGCGTCTGCTGAGAGCCCCCAAAGGGATCCCAGCCCCCCCCCCCCCCCCCGGGCACCCGCCCCGCCCCCCCCTAC